CACCACCACACCATGCGGGTCCTTTGTTTCGCACGTCTCTCAGCTATTTCTATCGATCTTTTTGCCACAGCAATCACCCGGAAACAAAGGACCCGCATGGTGTGGTGGTGAACGCGTTACTCCCCGGAAAGGATAATAGCGCGTTCGTTCCCCACCATAGACACCTGCGGTCCAGAGTTTTGCAAATATCTCAGCAACGTTGTGGTTGTATTTCGCTTAGTAACCTGCCATAAAAATTATAGAAGGCAGAAAACAAAACGTTAACACATTCTGACGAGAACCTCATTTCATGCGTTGGCTGGTTCAGTATAGAAAAGTTCATTCGAAACGAATAGATTCTCTCGTTTTCCTCGTCTACCATGTAGTACATTCTTCTCGCGAGTTGTATAGCGTCCGTAGAAATTTGGGAAACAAGTTGAAATAGATCATGTTAAGAGGAAACACACTTTACTTGTAGGCATAAAATAAATGGAGAGTATTCTCTATGAAATAACAAACAGTACTTTTAGTTTCTACTTATTTTTCCTTGGATGATGACCTCTCTTTTCACGTTAGCCTCAATGAGCATGGGATGCTTCAAGAGGTACAATCGGTATGCATTGAGCTACACCTACAATTGCTCTCAATGCCATGTTTCTTGTGAGTTTTTAGATCGGATAATCCATTTTATACAGTGGTTTTCTAAACAGGAAATATCCTCTGTGCGGTCTTTTTTTTGTGGAAACTGAAACTTCAAAAGCTATGAACTTTTTAGCAATACAAAACCCGGCGGAAGGAAAGACCCGCGTGGGGTGGTGGTGGACGCGTTACTCTCCGGAAAGGGCAATAGCGCGTTCGTTCGCCACCGCAGACACACCTGCGGTCCGGAGTTTTGCAAATATCTCAGCATTGCTGTGGTTGTTTTAGCATAATAAAAAAACTTATTTCGCACATTTTAGAACAAGCAGAAAATAAATTGTCGCAATACTTGTTCTTTTCAATTCTAGCTGGTTTTTCGTACATCGACGTGAATTTTTACGCTGGTCAAGCAATTCCGCTGCTGATGATCACCGCTTATTTGTTTATACTTGGATCGATTTATAGAAATCGGAAGGTGACCAGAACATATAGCAACGGGCAAACGCTATTTGATGCCAGACTGGTAAGTTTCACTACTGAACACATTTCCATATCTGTTATTCCTCGACGACGATCGATACATATGAAACGTGTATTGTAGCGTCATCAGCACGTTTTGCAGCACTTAGATCCAGCATTCAGTGAATCAGACTTATGAAAAATTCGATGTGATGAGCGAAACGAACACAGGCACTTACATGGGGAAGACAACTTCCAACCATATGTCCAATTTAACCTAAACATTTGTATATGAACATTATTCGGCAATATTGGACCTCCTACTAGTTAATGTGTTACCTCTCTTGAATTAATCACTTTACTCAATTAAGGTTACCTACTTGTTTATATTGAGAGCTGTCAATTACAAGAAAAATTCTACCACAAAAGTAAATTTTAGGTTTTGGAAGTTAAACCAAATACTCCGCGCAGGCGCGCATAGAGCACATAGACATAACGGAGAATATTTTGAAGTAGAGGTTGCCATTTTCCCACAGGTTTTTGGAACTTCAGCACGCGAAGCCCTCTGAAACATTTTCGATAAATTCCAAGAATCCAAAAAAAAACAGCAAGGAGAAGTGCCTCGTCATGACGCGAGATCCGACACAATAACTTGGACTAATATTTTAACGTGAGAATGGCTCTTAGCCCTCCCGTCTGAGCTCTGCGCGGTTCGTCTCCATGTAGAATGCACAATGGAAGATTTATAAAAGTCGGCGATTGTGTGAAGAAGTCGTTTTGTTTTCAATGCATTTGAGTTCTAGGTGATAGCTTTCCTGCAAGAAACCAGCGAGTTATTTGTCAACTAATTCAATTTCTTGTTTCTTCGCTTTTAACTGAATCTGTTTTTTAAAAAAAAGTGTGTGGATAATTTGTAATTTCAGGCGTTCCAATTTTTTATGATTTGTTGTAGTCAATACTTAACTGCCTTTTTGTTCGACATCGTGCCAAAAATTGGCGGTGGAACCGTTTGGGGCGCACTCATCATCAACTGCATAGGTATGTCTACAACTTTCATGTGAAATTTTAAAATCACTCAGCAAGCCTAATAAATAAAGAGGGTTAAACCCTCGGCCCTGACCAATCCCTGAGGGATGTGTCATGCATTCGACTTTATTAAGTATCGTTGGAGGTGATTGAATGCATATTTGGCCTATACAGTGACTCGCGGTGGTTTACCGATGTATCAAGCCAGTGCTGCCATCCTCCCAGACAAGTCTGGTACCAATTTGCCGACCCCGGAGAGATGGAAGGTTTGGTGGGCCATGAACACGTGGATCGATTCCTCGTATACGTTGCAGAGCGCCTCCAACCACTACGCCACACGCTCCTTTAACAAGCCTAAAAGGGCCTAATGGAAATACTAAATGTGCAGGAAGCGGTAAACGGTAGACTGCAACACCAGCGTACAAATAATGGACAATGGGAAATGGATACAAACCACGACGAGCGAATGTTATCTCATTCTCTACCACGCCTAATTTTTTGTCTCTACAGGCTTGCTAGTTTTTGACAACAAACGATAAATTTCCGTCAATTAGGAAACTTGAGCAGTTGTGAGTAAAGCACCATTGTTGAAGAGCCTTCCCTTTGCCGTGCTATGGTTGTGAATGGTGTGAATGCTTTTACTTACTATCTGTTACCATGCCGCATGACATAAACACATTTATATCAGCAGTATAGTTTCCCAAATCACGTTGTGTCTACTTAAGTGTCTTTTATGCGAGCACATTCCTGATAACAAATATTCATTCATTCAATTCAATCGGTTGGAATTGAGACAAGGTTCAATCGCCCATCGAATTACCAGTCAATAAACTCGTTCGGGGGATTGTTTTTCGCATATTTCCAAAGGCGAAATAAAGCTTTTTCGGCTTTATGCCTTTCGCAATATCTGTGCTCAATAAGCTACCGGATGGTTACAAAAAGTCTGAAAAGAAAAGAACTGTTTTTCAAATTAGCCTTCAGAAACAAAATCAGCTGAGGCAAGAATGGTATCACTGTTGTTGCCACTCGATGGCTGACGTTTCGTCGACTTCGCTTTCTTCACAGCATGGACGAATTTTATGTAACGCTATCCATATAATCGCAATGGTGCTGAGATATTTTCAAAACTTTAGACCGCAGGTCATGTAGGGGCTGCGAGAAAGCCGAAAAGAAGGACTCACATGGTGTGATGGTGAACGCGTTGACCCCGGAAAGGGAAAGAACATGTTCGATCCTCACCTCTATTGATATTTGCGGTCGAGAGTTTTGTAAATATCTCAGCATCACTGTGGTTATACTTCACATCATGCCCTGCCATAAAAAAAGAACACGAGTAAATTAAACGTGGCCATCCATTTAATCCGTGCACAGTTCTTCAAAGCTTGATTGATCTGCGTCGGTGGTCCACAGGTGTTCAGCCTTGCGATGTAGGTGTTAGTTATCGCACTGAGTCGAATACACTGAAACGGAGAAAGTGAAAAATATTTACTCGTAGTGTGCTATCCATGTGAATCGACCTATAGTATTTATGAAGTCCTATGATATAAATGAATGCTACGTTGTTTAAAACTTCTTCACCACTTTGTATAATCTGGGATCACTTATGGTACCGTTCACTTGGGATAACGAGTTAAACCAGCACAGATTAAATAATCAATGTGGAAAAGGTGCCACACCATGTGTGATAGGAGGCTTCGTCTTTACGGTTCATCTTTGCGCTTATGAAGATTATCAGAACGTTTCAAGAGTGTTACGCGTTGATGCTTTGGATTCCTTCGCTGAAATCTTGACAGTCATTTCAAAATCATCACCGTTGTCCTCTGTGCCACTCAGAGAAGTGCTTTGTCGAATTTTAAGTATTCCACATAAATGTTTTTTATACAGATACAAAGTGGTCTACCCGTTTCACCAATGCATTTTTAACAGCGTGTCTTACGTGAGACTAAATAATTGCACCTGAACTCACGCAACCACCGTCCCTACCACTAGTGAAAGCCGTGCAATTTTCCGTGTTACATAGACGATCAAAGGGGCGGTTACCGTCCAATTGAAGACGAAGGCGAAGAGTAAAACAGTAGCTGGAAGTTTAATAACTGCGACGGAATTGGCAGGACGTTTTTAGGTACCTGTTAGTACCGCTAATTGTTTCGTTAGATATAAAGGATGCCTTCAAATAAATCTTACTTAGGTTTGACACACTTTTTTGGGGCCTAACCCTACTTTTTGATCTGTCCTAGGTGGCTGCTTCTTCGAAGCCATTGAAAATGTCTATTTTTCGTGTCATCTTCGGCGATTCCTTTTTTCTCTTCTGTACACACATTTTTAGCTGTTTAGTACATGTTTTTGATAAGTGCTTTTTTAATGTGTGACGGATGAGAGGAGACGTTCTGGAAGACCCTTGGAAATCACTGTATGGGCCAGCTACGAATTCATTCACCTTTGCAGTGCTGATCATCTTTATTTAAAAGTGTGTAAGGCTGCAGTTTAATCTCTATCATCTTATTCAGTACGCTTTAAAAGCCTAGGAATCTTCAAGAATCCTAAGCTGTAGTTGCTTCTATAAGCGAGAGGATTAAAAGTGGAAGAGAAAACTGCCAAATTAAAATGATGAATGGAAAGCGTTAGCCGAAGGCCGTAAGGATGACTGCTGATTGCCTTATTTTATATCATCCAATCAAGAAGACACACCATCATCGATTGTCAGCTTAACAAATATAGCACTGCTTGATTATCACATTCGTTTACAACTCTCTGTCTACCGCTTATGGTAAGATACATCTCCAATCAGGCCACCCTAATTTTAGAAATTATACCATGTGTAGTGGTATCTCTGAATTTTTGTAGATGATATGGGTCAGAACTTCCGATTCTCTATTTCACTTCAATTATATGCAGTACTGTTAACATCTTTCTTTCGACCACGTCTTCATCAGCATTGTGATCTTTCATTCTGCTTAAAAAAACCGAACTTTCTATGAGTACGTTAATACAGGAGTAATTCTATTATCGGGAAAGGTAAACACCTGGTCAAGTGTTCTTTCCCTGATGCTCCTAAGAGCTTCCAATATGACTCGCTTCATTCTGCTAAACTCTGGGACTAATTGCTTCATCATGTTTTCTTTCTGACTCGTATCCATTTTGCTGTGGTATTTATTTCATTGAATGTGAATGGCGTATCAAACACAAACGTCTTAGGTAACTCAAAATTCGAGTAGGTTAGCTGATGACGGAACGAGCGCGACATCCGCGATTGGTCATAGAGTGTCTATGCAGCAAAGACCAATGATAAACGACTAACAGAATAAAGTTATCGACATTCTCTCATTGCATCATTTATACACTAATCTGTTGCATATTTAGGGACGATTAATATATCTGTAAATCCAACTATTCTGTTGCTGTGCAATCAAGAAATTCGAACTAGCGCCCTAGACCTAATTCTTTGCCGTAAACGCAAAAGAATCGGAAATACAAGATTCGTAACCAGTCGAGTCGGCAATACAAACTTTCTGTAGTCGTAGCTTTTTTTGAACATTTTTTAAATCCATATTCTTTGTTTTTATAGCTGATTGTTTGAAGTTAATCTAAAGTCATCACAATTTCTACGCTCAGGAGATTTCCCTCTACTTCATAAAGTCAATAGATTTACAAACGACACTGAATGAAGTACTGCATCAAGAAAGAAAAATGAGATACACTCCTTATAAAGGCTTCGTATAAAAAATGGCTGACCAGACAAGAATATGTTAGCCCGAGTTGTACCACCTTCGGACCCTTGCCCTATGTGTAGCTCTTATCTTCTTTTAGTCTAAATGCCATGTAAACATGTTATGATCTCTCATCAATTGTACACCACATATGAAGATTTACATAAATGGAATATGCATAATCGTTGTAAATAAACACCTTGATATTTTTTCTATCTCTACTTATAGTTCTGAAATCAAACAGCAAAGGGTCACCACCTAGTCTTCTACTTACCCCTATCTCTCGCCCTGTAGTCTGTAGGATATATGAGTTCTCAGTTCCTTGTTACTATAGGAAGGCCACTGATTTTTTACTTGATCTGTGCCAACTACCTTTCCAAAAGATAACGTTGAAAATGTGATGTTTCACACAACATAATTTGAAACAACGTCACTACACAATTGTCCAGTAGCCTACAGTATGACGTTGCAGTAATGTATTACTAACAAAACAAAGTCAAAAGCAAAGCACTTACTTGGATACTTAGATGACCCGTCCTCGCTGGTTCTGTGGGTACCAGTATAATCTCCATTTTTCGGAGTTTTGCTTGTTTAACTATTTTTTTCTGGAGTCGTGAGGTCAGCCTAGCCAAAGTCTTCTCTAGGTCATCACCACCACTGGCAGTCGCGGCCCTTGTGGATCAGGAGATTTGCCACCATGCCAGTAGTTTGGTGCCACGACGGTGACAGTCTCTGATATTGGTAGTAAAATAAAGCAAGTAGAAGCATAAATGCCCTTGTTTTTATAATACAAGCTTATAAATGGGCGCAAGGGTGCGTGTAGCTCAGCGGTTAAACGCGCCCCGCAACACACATGCGTTCGATCATGCGTCCCAGGCTCGTCAAGCCTTCCATTCCTCTGGATCGGTAAATTTTTAACAAACCTGTCTAAGAGGATAACAGCACTAATTCGATACACCTATAGGTTACCGAAGGTTATTAAATGGAGCAGGTATGTATTAAGTCAACTCTATTGATGCCTACCTCCCAACGGTTTATCGCCTCACCGTGGCTAAGAGGTGTTTCTGGATGTCGGACTGCGATGTACAGTGAAGGGATTCGTACCACTGGCAGGGTCTCCCAAGCCGAGAAGGAGTCTGGCACTTCCATCAGCAAGCCTAGCTAAGAGTAAACCAATACCAGGATCCACCACTGTCCTTGTATTAAATTCGCATGGTGGCAAATCTCCCTCTGATCCACAATGGCTGCGACTGCCTGTGGTGGTGAAGACCTGGGGCAGACTTTGGCCAGGCTGACCTCCGGATTCCAGGAAACCACAATGGTTTAGCAACCAAATTTCCGAAAAATGGTGATTGTGCTGGGCCTTCACGACCAGTGAGGACGGGTCGTTCAAGTATCAAACTTTGATGATTAATGAAGTCGTTTCCACGGTGCATCCTTCAGGGATTGATGAATGATGAAAGTTTATCCATCATCTTTTCCTTCCATTCTGTTGACTACCAAAGATGGCTGCCCTAAAGCATCAGTTATAACAAATTCTCTGAAAAATCTTCACCTTTTTATTTACTGGTTACTATAATTTTTAATGGCAAGGTATCATGTGAAATACAACTAAGATGATGCTGAGATATTTGGAAAACTCCGGACCGCAGGTGTATGTGGTGGGGAACGCACGCGCTGTTGTCCTTTCCGGGGAGCAACGCGCTCACCACACGACATGCGGGTTTTTGCAAATATCTCAGCATCATTAAGGTTATATTTCGCAATGTATACCCTGCCGTTAAAAAAAGAGTAGCTAGTAAATAATAAGTTAAAATTGTGATTATAACTGCAGCCTCAGCTTAATTGGGTTCGTTGCCGCCTTGGTCTCTCCAGATCAATCCCGTTGACGGGTGATTGCTGATGGCGCTGATCGATAGAACTAGCTGAGAGACAGGCGAAACGAAGAATTCGCATGGTGTGATGGTGAACGCGTTACTCCCCGGAAAGGACACTACCGCGTTCGTTCGCCACCGCAGTCGCCTGCGGTCCGGTGTTTTGCAAATATCTCAGCATCAATGAAGCTATATTTCGCAATGTGACATTAAAAAGAGTAGGCAGTAAATAATAAGCTAAAAAACCTT